AGAAGTGAAAAAAGGTGTCTCTGCTGTTCAGCGGGGAGTAAGTAACAAAATATTGTTTTCATTTCTATTTCAAAGTCCAAAGATTTTGCTGGGTTTTAAGTTTATTGAGTTATTTACTGATAGTCTTTTAAATGATAGATGAATATGTTTTTGTTAAATAGTTGTAGTAAAAAAAAAGAATTAAGATCAAAAGTTACGGTACGCACCTGATTAATATCAGATCCTTAATACCAGAACAGTATAACAGTATGACTAAACAGTGGTATGTGAATTTGCTAAAGGAAAATCTTAAATGTTAGACCTATAGAAAGGCATCTTTAGTTTCACTTCAGCTGGTAAGTGTTGAGTGAAGCAAAGGTGCATTGTGATTTTTATATCCTCTCTGAACACTGCTTCTCTTGATGCTCTTGGTCGAAGGCTTGAGAGCAAATTAGATGGTAATGAAAAATATGCTACAAAAGTACACTGACTACAAACATGTCTAATTTTGTGAGTATGATTTGAACTATTTTCAGCTAAAAATTGATCCACAAGACCAGAATTCTGTACTTAAGTGCAACTTACACCAGGGCTTTGCAAGTCAGGGGTTCTCAAACTTTGTGATACTGCGACCTCTAGTGCTGGATGGCAGTGGTAGGGGACGGGGAGCTTACATGAGGCAGCCTCTGCTGCCGTCCACCACTCCGCATGACACTTCCCCGCGCTGCCATGCGTACTGCCTGGGAAGTTTGTGTCCCCTTTTAAGTTGCTCGAGAACCCCTGTTATAAGTAATAGACTATGAAGTGAACTTTGGATTTCTTTTTCTAATAATTTGATATGGTTTTTCCTCTAAATGATGTGCTAATAGCAGTGAGAATACTCTTAATTTAAGACTAGTCCACCATATAGCATAAATAGCAAACATAAATCTTTAAGGTAATTAATTATATATCTTTAACTCCTTCTCTCTGATAGTCCAGTTTCTTCTGTAACTGATTTTTTTAGCCCTCAGATAATGCTATGCAGTTGCCATGGTAGTGAAAGGGAATGACTTTCCCTAATAATATGCAGGAATGTATGCCTTTAAAAAACAAAACAAAAAACATACAAGCTTGCACATTATGCTGCAGAAATGTCACTTATTATATGCCGCTTCTTCTCCCTTCGTCTCTGGTTCCCCTAGTAGTTCTGCTACCAAAGGCCCCACTCTGCTTCTGTTGGAGCATAGAACAAGGTTCAGCAACCTGTGATAACTTGAATGGTGTTCTGTGGCAGGGGGCTCTCCCTTTGGACACTTGGGGCTTTAGTGGAGGGGAAGCTCTGCCTGCATTGTCCTGCAGTCAGGTGCCTGGGGCTTCAGCAGAGGGAGATCTCTGCCCATGCCACTCCACAGTTATTGTGGGCCTTCAGCCCGAGCAGGATCATTCTGGCCTCCTGCTAGAAAATATTGTTGACCCCTGGTCCAGAGGATGGACATCCGCAACTTCAGAGGGCATTAAGACATAGTTGCATCTTGAAATTAGCTAATGCTACTCTTTAGTATGTGTTTGGAAAATTTGGTGTATAACTCTAATGCTTTCTAATGGTTTTCTTCTTCTGAGTTATAGAAAGGTGTATACAGTTCTCCTTGACAGTGGTTAGAGTACAAGATCAGAAGCCAGCTACATCTTTAATATTTTACCCTTTTTTATTTTACATGGTTTTTGTTTGTAAATGGCAATTATTTTCCTAAATTGTTGCAAAGATATTAACTATGAAATATGAGACTAGAGTGATGTTTTTCACAACCTATGGAAAATGACACGCCTTTAATAACTCTGTAATTAACCAGTGTTTTTCATGTAAGCGTGTTGCTATCTTTATATTTCTTGTTGTTCCAGGAGTATTTACAAGTAATGCAGGAGCCCACAACATATCTTTAGGCTGCTGAAAATACCGCCAGTAGTGGTTGCGGCTTGGGGCCCTGGCCATGGGCACCTTTCCATCACTTAGATTTGGTGGCATCCTGCCCCTTTTTGTGAGGAGATAAAAAGACTTTACTGTGCAAATATTAAAAACCAAATGGTGAAAGTGCTAAGGTGTGCAGCTTTCCCAGAGGCCACACATGAAACACTTGTCAGCAATTTAAAAACACCATGTCACTGGAGAATTAACCCCCCGCATTCCTCATGAGGTTACACATGCAGGACCAGCTGTCCATCTTCCACCTCTACAGAATGCCGCCTCAGTGGTGCGGCAACAGTATGTGGATCAGGCTTTTCTCCTGGCACTAACCTATACAGTCTCCCCCC